GTGGGTGCGATGGATGCATGGATGAGCGGGGCCAGCGAGCAGGTGAGACCGGCCTCTCCATCTACCTTCAGGGAAAAACCGGGACTCTGCCACTTGCACCCCTTAAACCTTTATTTCCTCTGCTTCAGCCGGCCTTGCAGCAAAAATCGGGTTTATCGCCGAATAACCCATTCGGGCTTCTTTCCGACACTGATGTGGGCAATAATTACATAAATATCGGCTCTGATCTTACAAAATCTATAACAAAAAAAAGACAGCTAATCTCAAGGGGATCAGGATTGGGCCCACAATCCCTGATTCTCTTTTGAACATCATTCTAAGCATCAGCAATGAGAATACACGGCACATGAAATTTTTTAAGTGGAAAAGCCCACCGTCATTCATCATTGCTTGAAAATTTACCAATTTTGAAAGTCGAAAAGAACTCAATAGATACAATTAATGCTAAATTTAATAAAGACAAATGATCATGTGATTGACGCTGATTTAAGTGGATTGTTTATTGTTGGTACAAAAGGCCAAGTGTGCCGGATACTCCAAACAGCTCATAAAATATCATTCACACCATAACAATGCATCTTCTGCATTTATGGTAGAGTGAGTATGTATCTAGATATTAATTTGTCTTCTCCATGTCTGTTTTATAACCGCAATTTTGGTTAACCATAGCTTCTTGGAAAATGAGCTTGGCTCCTCCTAAGTACAGCCACAGAATTCAAGCAGCCTGATAATAAAAATCAGGAAAGAAGTTGGTACATCCTAACTGTGCATTTTAATTCTCTGTTTGACTTATCTTTACACTGATTCTCAGTATCACTCTGTGAAAACAAAAATTCTTATGTTAATTTGTGGTCTGCGATGAGAGATGTGGGGTGAGAATCAAGACCAGGGATCAAACCTCCTCTACGTGACCGGTTTTTTATGAGGGTTCACGTCTGCTTGTGCAGAGCTGACCGCTGCGCCAGCGTTACCCTCGGTTCTACGTGTCAGTCCAGGAAAGGTGACAGGAAGCATTAGGTTGTTCGGTATGGAAACGTCAACAGAGGCTCAGCACTCTTCAGTCGGCTAACAAAACAGCGGGAGGGGGAGAGGGGGATAACCCTGAAACACATGCATTTGGTGGCACTAGCATGAAAATGGAACAGAGATGCGTGAAAGTCATGGTTCAGCTCCAGCTGGACCGGCCTGTTGGTCCGAAACTGTACCAGCCTGCGCACTTCGCCCGTATCCTCCTGCCTTGGAATGAGCCTCAGGCACACAGGCAGCTCCACAGTTCTCTTCTGAAATAAATCACCTCTGCAATGCAAACTGGAAAGTGTTTATCAACTCGAATTTCACCTGAACGTGCACTGAGTTGAGCCCCTACAATCACAGAGTTAATAATTTTCCCCCCCTTGCCAAAGGGACAACACATCCCCAAGTACTCTGAAAACATTTAATGAGACACTTCATGCAGTTAAAAGTGAATCACAACCAACACCTTCGTATTTGGTGCGCATGCGAAAAACGGCATAGAAACTCAAAACAATCGTTAAGAGGGCACGTTAATAGCATCAGAAAGAGGGGTTTACCATCTCCAAGTCAGCAAGGGCAAGAGACAGGGTGAGGTGTACGAGGTGGCACAAAGCTTAAGAGAGAGACAATGAAGATAGATCCTCCTTTTCCAAGACAAGCTAGGAGCGGATGAAGTATTGATACTTTAGTAAGATAATACTGACGTATCTGTCTACACGTAGGTATGCAGTTGCTTGGCAGCTTAGACATCTCGCCAACCTAATTGTCTCTGCTTTGCTAAGCTTCAAGGACACCAATACATTTCACAGCAGCCAGCTTTCCACTTGTACTTGGAAAAATGATGATAATGAAGACGGGAAGTTCAAAGGGCAGCTTAACAAATCTCCAAAGTAACAGCACACTGCGAGGATACTGCTGTAAGGCTTTCCACTCTCTCCCGCCTCTGCCGAACAGATGCATTGTTCGGTATTAAAATATTTCTCCAGGACATTTATGAACAGGGGTTGGGAAAACTTAAGATCTCTCCTGTCACAATAGAAGGGTAATGAATGCTGCTCAAGGTAGGTGGCAACAAAAAATGCCTCTCTGCCTCCCTTGCAGAAGGGGGACGACACACAACCCTCCCCACCAAAAGAAACCCGGAACCAAAAATGGTCTAAGCAAAATTGGAAGTTGAAACTTCAAACTGTAATGAAATTAAAATTAAACACCCAACATAATTTCTAACAGCAATTTCTCTAGGTAGGTTAATATCGTCATGTAGACTCACACACAGAGCTCATACTCAGTTTTATCACTACCTAAACGTCAGTCTACATTCTAACCTACTTTGCATTAGACAGGAATCAAGTTTTAAGGGAATATAAGAACATCTCAAGTTCTTACCATCAAATGTCAATTCATCCCCCTCCCAAACTGTGTGCACCTCTTTATCTTCCCTGAAATCAACAGTATCCCTGAAGTCTTACAGTAATTTCAAAAAGAAAGAAAACCCCAGAATAAAGCAAATGTGATGTCCACCCGCACCAGCTCTACAAAAAGCTATCTAGGAAATGCAGAATAACTTAGGACAGTAAAGACTGGTTTCTACCAACTGAACTTCTGCCCCAACAACAACAGAAATATGTAGCTGTTTCTCCTTTTTTTGAGGGCAGGGGGAAGGAAACACAGGGAGGGAGGTGTGGAAGGGCAGAAAGGGTGATTGTGACTGGACATTTTTATCCACACAGGAGTCCTAAAGGTGTGATTGAAAATAACCTCTCAAAGTCTCAGCCTATGCGACATGAAGTGTAAAGAACAAATGCTACTCTTTAGCAGCAAATTAGTGATGTAGAACAAAATGTTTGATACCACAGCTGCACATATGAGAACTTAAGCTTCTTGCTTTTAGAAGAGGAGAGGAAACAAAAATGCATAGGTCTGTTTTGAGTATTGACTTTTAATAGCTTGTTTCTTGTAAGGGAACAGGGGATGTTTTCTGTTTTAGAAATACAGGTATCAGTTGAGCTTTAAATACAGCCTGCTCCTGCCAACAGGTCATGTACATGATTTATTTGGCTTCAGCTTTTGTTTTTATGCATTAAGCAACCTTCAACCTTCTTTTGTAATACAATATATAGACAAATTTAAGTACAGTAATAGTGTAGGTATTTTACTGTCTTCACATTTTTCTTGACATACTGGACAAAGTGATACACATCAGTCTGCCCCCAAGCCCAGGTTTCATACAAAGCACGTTGAATACTGCTTTCAGTGGCACACTCAACTTGCTCCCACGTTTAATTTGCCGAATCTACAGAAACAGGTCCTTTGGGAATATCAGGAATTACTTCCAACTCTGTCCAGTGACATTCAAATGCTCAGGCAACTACTGGTAACTTTCATTTTACGGTTACTACAGATGTTGCATACTGACAGGAAAAAGAAAGTTTTAGAACTGGACAAGCTATAGTAATCCAGGTTTTGGTAGAATTATAATATACAAAAAGGGGACTTTCATATATAGTTTTCAATCTGTAGTTTCATTTTTCAAAATAAAACCTATATATATAAATGGATAACATTCAAGATCCGTTTATGAATAACAGTTGCTTTCCGGCTAAAACAATATATTTAGACAGAATCTCACTTTCTGTTTTTCACTTCAAGTATGCTAGCCAGTCCAGTCCTTTGGGAAAAAACCTTCCATTTTTAAATCCTTTAGGATCCATCAGATTCATTATATGGAAATGACCTTAACTTATACAATATACTATATTATGAGGTGAACTGAAGGGGATTAGATATCGAAGTATTGGTCTGGGTGCAGTAAGCCAAACAGCTGTTTAAACATGATACTAAAGCTGAAATAAGTCTCTGTCAGAATAAAAACCAACATTCATGAAAACAGCAGCAGCCATCAAAAAACATTCACAACTGCAGGGATTTTGTACTGTGTGTAGTTTTGCATTATAAGTAGGAGAAGCCACAATAGTTTAAAGCAAAATTAAAAAAAAAATACCACTAACAGTCTTGAATTTAATAATGTGAATTGTCACTCTCATAGCTGTTCATAGAAGTGTACTAAAAAAATTTACTTAAACATATGAATTTAAGACTTTCACTTTATTCAGCAAATTGGTTTATTTACACAATGGGGAACGCTGGTTGAATGCTGTCAATGTAATAAAAACAAATCTAACAGAGACAATACTGAACTCTCTCTATGTACTCGAGGCAGTAATGACAAACTATTTCCTTACCTGTATCAGGAACATCAAGCGCAACAATGGGACAGTATCATAGGACACTGATTTAACAATAAACCACAGAGGTCCAGTAATACTATGGCAATTTACTCATGTATTTACTGACTTTAAAAAAAAAAAAAAAAAGTCAGCAATACCCAGTATAAAGTTCTGTCAATTATCAGAGTCAAACTCTGATGAGTAGGTCAGTAAAACCTTATCAGATCATCCACAAGTCATAAAGCGACCTGATCTGCTTCAGACCACTAATACAGAAACAAAATTGGTGAGAAATCCTCTAAAAGGCATCAATGATCTGGTAAGGGTTTAACTTAATGGAAGTTTAAAAAAATTAAGAATTGCAGAGCACAGCCCCTATTAGAACAAGCTAACTTTCCAGACTTTCAAAAAAGACCAAAAAAAAAAAAAAAAAAAAAATTAAGATACATTTCTACCCTAACTTGATTTCCAAGACACTTCAACATGAAGCTACCATACAAAGTTTTTTTTTTCGTTTTGCCTTTTTGTCGTTTTTTTGTTTGTTTGCTTCTTTTTTTCTTTTAAGAGTTCAGAGTTGCAATTTAATCCTGGCTTTTTAGTGAGAAGGACAGTTTTGGCCTAGACTTTCCTTTGCCCAGGATAATTTTTTGCTCTTCCTTTTGCTGACGTTGTCTCTCTTGCTCTAGTTTCATCCTCTCCTCATGAATCTTTCTTTGTTCTTCAACAATTTTCAATTGTTCTTCAGCCTATATATGAAAATGGTAGAATTTAGGCCAGCATATTTTGTAGTCATAAAAGCAATTTACAAGTCCGTATTAATTTCCAAACAGGTCCAATCCTGCATAGTTATGTAAGCAGTTCTACCTGAGCTAGATGCCATAGTTGGTTTCAGCGAAACTATTTATAAAGAGGTTATTTGAACTGAGTTTAGAAGAGTGTTTCTTTCTACAGTGAAAACTTTCTACAGCTAATGCATCGAAGTCTCGAGTGCTTACATGCAATGTTTTTCAGCATTGCTTTGCAAACAACACATTACATTTTAATTAAGGAAGTCAGTGAATATATAGAGAAGTTCTCCTGACACCTGTCATGTGTCGGATGAAGGCACAACATAATGAAGTAACAGACCTTGAAACAGAGGTCTCCCCGCTCCAAAATCCATGTAAAACCCCCTCCTAGTTCAAAACCATCTTTACTTGACTTGTAACAAGTCAATCCTTACACTGAATTACAGTTCTCACAGCTCTTCCAATGGTCTTCTAAAGGTCCTTATTTTGTTCATTACACCAGTTAATACTTTAAATTTTCTGTTTGTCCCATTTTCACCATAAGAGGTGGGGAAAAGGGTGAAACAGGAAAAGATCTAAAGCAGATGTAGCTCAAGCAAAGAGTTTTAAGAAGCATCATCTTTACCTGAAAAAGGTGCAATTTCTTGGGTAATTGAAACCGACAGAGTTCAATCAGGATTTAGAAGCAGCTTAGTTTGGCTTATCATTGATTGATTAAAACCAGCTAAATCGTATTGAATGTTCTCATGAGGCAGGCACCTGCTTAAACAGGCTTGGAGACCAACTTAAGCTAGACTTTCATAACTTAGACATCTTAAGCTTATGCTGAAAGTCCCTTTCAGCACTTGTACCGCAACACTATACGTCAAATCCAGTTTGTACTTGTCCTGCTCAACAAAACAGAATTAGTCACTTCTGTTCTAGAAGCTGAACGTGTTTGCAAACTTACTTCAACCTTCCCTGTGAGATATAGTTACAAATGTACTTTTTAAATTCCGAAGGCCACTATCTTCCTCTAAATCAACTGCCACCGAACTACTTTTTCAGACTAGCATTACTGCTAAGGATCTGGTCTCTTACGCTCAAGGGAAGGAGAGCAATGCTACTGACGTAACCGGCAACAGACAAGTTAAACCCTAGAAAGGGTCAATTTGTTTATTTTAATTGTGTTGCAAATGAGGCAGAGGGACCTGTATTCCCCTACAGAACTGTTAACTATATCTTCACATACCAGTTTAGCTTGTGCTTCTGCAATTTTTCGATTATTCTCTTCTAGTATTCGCTCTAGTTCCTCACGCTTTGCACGCTCTTCTTCCTAAAGGGGAGGACAGGGCAAGATGTTAGTAAAGTAAAATATTCATTTCTGCATGTTCACTAATCTTTCTCAGAATTCTTTTGTGAACTGACTTAAAGTGGCAGCTTTACAGCCACCTATTTTGTCTCACAACGGTAAATTGTGCAGCCACTAAAACTGGTTTCTAGTACTCAATTTAAATCATCCCGCCCAGTCCAAACAGCAACCAACTAAACCCTCCCTAATCACAGAATCCTGACAATTTATTACTAGAATTTTAATATCACACAAATCAACAAGGACAACTACAAAAACTGGATAGTATTTACCAAATTAAAAAGTAATATAGAAAATATAAATAAAGTGAATAGTTTGTCTCACCAATTAAGTATACCTACGTATTCTTTACCTATACTCCTTTAATCAGCATTAAAAGTTGAATATTTACTGTCTTGTCCAGTGTCCTGCAGAGTGTGCTCCTCGGCTGCCATACGCGCCAGCTTCCTCTTTAAAATGATTTGTACTGTTAGCTTGGCAATACCTGCATCAGCAGCTCAACCATTTATAAAGAAACAACATACAAGGAAGGCTGAGCTGAGGAATGCAGATGTTTATGGTAAGAAGGAACAAAAATATGTAAATCATTCCTAAGGCAAACAATTAATAAGAAAAATACATTTACTGTTAGTGAAAAATACAAATGGTAATCCATACTTCATGGAGCTATGGGCTTCTTTCATGGGGAGAATGGACTTAACATTCAATATTTTGACAATTTTAAGACAGCTGAAACTGTCATTTGCAGTCTGAACTTGGAATTCAGGAGTCCAGGGAAGGTAAGATCAGGAAATAAAGCCTTGTAATTGTTGTTTTCTTGGTGAATTTTATGGAACTCTGTTATGCAACTCATAAATAGGAAGACTGCATGAAAGTTTTTGAGGTGTTTCAGTTCACGTAATATATATCCGAATTATTTTAATATTTGGAAGATTTAAAGTTAGCCAGAGGTTTGTGTCTGTGTAAGAAAAAAAAGTTAATACGAACAAAGCAAGCATATGAAGAGAAAACTTCTTACTATGACTAGTAACCAGCTACTAGCTAGCACACTTCACTCCAGGCATGGAAGTTTATTCTGCATTATAAAGAACTGATGGGACTTCTTCATGTCACATTGACAACAGCAAAAATACTTTACAAAAAAAAAAAAAAAGTCATCCATCTGATCAAATGAAAACCTCTATACATGAAGTGTTTGCTGACTACAGACATCTGACTTCCTTCATAGTTAAGGTTTGAATTTGCAAAACAAGTGTAATTTAATTTTCTTAGTATTTGTTGTAACTCAGTGTTCTGGGGGTTTTTTTTGTTTTAATTTGAACATATGTGACAGACAAGTCACATTCAGTATGTAGGG